GAAAATTATTTTATAGGTTGAATTGTATATAATTTATTTTGTAAAATTATTTAAATATTTTTGATAAAATAATATAAAAATAAAATTTAAGGTATTTAAGTAATTTTACAATGTAGATTATATACCGTTTGATCTGTTGAACAATTTTCTCAAATTAATTATATGGAATTTGAAGTGGATGGATTTTAATTTTTTTTAATGAAAGAATTAAATATTTAATTAATTTAGTGGGCTCCGAAAACCATATGGCAATTATTTTTTGCATATGTGTAATCATTAAAGTGAGATACATTTGTTGATATTTGGACAGCCGTGGCAATTTTTGTACGGAGGGCTAATGGGCAGGTGAGGCGTGAGTTTTTTACTATTAATTTGGCCACAAATTCTCGAGGTAGTGCAATTGAAGGGCTTAAAGTGACAAACTTAAATTTTGAGGGAAACTAGTTCCAAACTTTACAAGTTAAGGGGGGACCTTTTGCCTTTTAAATGCATGCCCTAAATAGTTTGCCCTAGGTGCACCTAATTATGTAAGCCCTACATAAATCAACTGAAAAAAAAAAGGTCTCTGTCCTTTGATTTGTCCATCAGCGGCACCTTTTAAGATTTGAATAGAAAATGACTCAAGAGGATTACTTGGCTAATTGAATAGAAAATGACGCAAGAGGATTAATTGGCTAATTAGCTCTACTAGTTATTAGATAATTTTGAGATGTGGATGTGTGTAGGTATGTTCCATGATCCCTTGTTTCATTATGCACCCTTAAGTTGAAAAAAAGTCTACTTCTAAGTAGATCCAACCTTTCTCACACACGAGGGTTTTTAGAACAAAATTGTGAGATTCAAATAAAAATAAACAATATTTTATGATTAATGTGACTTAATTTTTGATATCATCATCAACAATTGCAAATATAGTCTTAACTTGTAATAATGGAGATAAAGACTTAGTTTAAGAATACTTCTTGGTACTTTAGATTTTCATTTTTTATGTTTTATTATTATTTTAAAAATATATAAAATATTAATTAAAATAAATATTAAATATATTAAATATATTTTATATATTTTTGAGATGTTAAAGGAGTAAAAACCTATAGTTACAATTACAAGTCAGTGTTGTCAAATTAAGCCAAGGTAGGAAAAGAAAAGGAATTTGCTCTATTAATATACAAAGTTAATTCATATAAAATGTTATAATAAAATTTTACAATAGTCATAATCTTACATGACATTAAATGAATAAATATATTATGGATCTATGAATCTCATTGAGAGAAAAAAATTAAAAAAAATTGTGAGATTTCATTAAAAAAAAAATGGTATGTGAATGATTTTCCATTACTATAATCCACCAATTCAAGATAAATCGAATTTTTTATTTCTATCATTTTTCAAAATTGGGTAAGAATTAAAATAATAATGGAGATGTTTCAAGTGAGGATAAACATCCAAGTAAAATAAAGCTCAGAAAATGATTTCAAGAAACATGAAAACGGTGCTCAAAGAAGTGGCAAGATATAGTCCAGAAGAACAAACAAAAATATAATATAATATAAAGGTGAATACTGAAACCCCCACAGGAAGAAATATTAAACATTCATTATAACAGTAATATGTTGTTTCTTCAAAAGGCAAAGGCCCCAGTATGCGTGACACACAAGCAATTAAGAAATCAAAATGAAATAAACAAAACAGAAAACAGGCATTGGTTGTCCTAGAAAACTGCATCAATACAGATGTTATTAGAAGAGGAAAATGAACTTAGAAACAACCCAAAGAAAGAGTCAAATGTAAGATCCTGAAATTGAGGTTCTTTTGGAGACAATGTTTGAGTTGGGTTTGGTTTAGGTTGTTGTTTGGTCTGTTGTAAAGGAGTATCATATTTGGCCGTAACTGATCTTGAAATTGGACTGGTTGGTGTGAATGACTAAACTTCATCATTCATGCACTAGGAAAAGTTCTAAAATGCCCTCTAGTACCGAACACTGTAAATTACTATATGGTGTATGAACGTATAAAAAAACTATTGTATTGTTAAATTATATCAAATTATATAATAAAAACCATTGAATGAGGGGAGGGTCTCTTATAAATTATATTGGACTGCACAATAGAGATTATCAAATGAGGGATGACCTCTTAATATTAGGAGTCCTCCTTCATCCGACCATTTTTGTTTTGAAGTACGATGTGATCTGAATTACAAAACAAAAATCTCATGAATATATAAATATTTTGTGTATGTGTGCTTATTATGGGAATTTGCATAAGGAAACCCATATTATAGATGTTTTTACCACATCGTATTCAATGACTTGAGAATTTAGATTATTACATCTTAAAAATAAAAAAAGGGTCAAATTTTACTAATAAGATCTTAACCAAAATTTACTATTTAGATCTTAACCAACTTTAGGGGGAAAACTCTTTTTTTTAGGGTAATAACTCCAAACACTCTTATCAAAGACCAAAAGTTAAACATCCTCATCCAGCTCAATGTGTACTTTAAAAATAAAAAAATAAGGAGTAACAGATTTTATTTCAGAGGTCTGCAATTACACAAGGATGAATAGTTTGCATTTGTTATTCTCGCTACACTATTGTCAATAAGGGCAACTTGGTGATCAAAAAATATTAAGCAAGTCCAAGAATGAACTGCTTCCCATGCCCCCAAGAAAGATCCTTCATTGTCAATGCTAGGGAATTTGACTAAAGTTTTTCACCTTTACACACACCAACCACATTTGAATAATTTTCTCAATCTTCTCCTCCCCTTTAAATTCTGCCAACTAACGCAAACAAGTCGATTAGTCCAAGCTCTCGTTTTCATCTTTCCTTAGATCTTCTCCTTCTACTCAGCGAGAAGGCCAATGTTCTTCTCAAGGGGTTTAGTTGGATATCTTCTATTGTTCTTGTTGAGTATTTCAGCTCTATATGATGGCAGAGTTCTGGGAGCAAGAAATCTGAGAGAGAAGTTGGAAGATGATGTAGAGAAGTCTGAAACTTTGGAGGAAAATTCTAAGAACAACAATGGAGATGAGGGCTTTTTCGCAACCATTAACAGACAAGTTCCCTCTTGTCCCGACCCACTACACAACAGGTAATAATCATACTCAGAATCATTGAGAAATTGTGTTTGTACATAGATGTATGTACAAGGTGTGGATCAAAGCCTTCAGAGGAGTTGGAGAACTCTCTAATTTCTTTTTCCTTTCTGGGTTTCTAGATTCATGAGGTGAGGAATTCTAAGAAGTGAATCTTTTGTTGTTTTTGAGAGTTAGAGCCCATTGTTTTGAAATGCAAATTGCTAAATAATATGATTCACATTGTTTCAAAGCATATTATATAGAGTCTTGTCTTCTATCTTTATTTTATAGTTTCGTGTTCATGACTAGTTGTTTGAGAATGCAAAAGGATCAATCTCTGTTTGTAGAAAAAGGAAAAAGATGAGATGGGCATCTTCAGCAATCCTGAAGAAAGTGAGGAAATAATGAAGGTAATGAGGCCTCACTTACCCCTACAGAGAATGTTGAAATAAAAAATAGTTATTACATCATGAAAAATAATTCATGCACAATTTCTTTTATGGTAGAGCCTTAGAATCCTATGCCTGCATGACATAATTATGATGAACTCCTCTCACCATTGGTCATGCATCTACTCCTTCAATATTATGTAATTATTGTAAGATTTTAGTGAAAGATAAAATTGTGTTTTTCTACAACGCCATTCAATCAAGCCAACATTATTGTTTATATTAATTTCTTTCAAAATTCTTGAAATTTGCATGCTCTGTTCCATGTGCGGAACTGAGGCGTATATCTAAGCATTAGCCTTTCTGAAACGCTGTGTACCAATTCTTCCGAACTTAACTAGCATTTAACCTGACAATTAGGAATAATTTCCCCTTTCTTCGCATTACCAAGATGCTTAGAAAATGGTTTCTCTACAATTTTTGTCAGCCAGTTTTTTCTAAACTACTATGTATTTCCATGCATGGTGCAAGAGATTTCCGCTTACACACAAAAGCTTTTTCATTGTTTTTGGCTCTATGATGAGCTTGAAATACAAGACGAGAACAACTGATCAACCCAATCTCTTTATGCTATTTTTCTGGCCAAATTTCACTTATGCTTTACAATTCTATATCTAGGTATATGGGGTGCTTATTGATCCAATATGGGAATCAAAAACAAGACACAGCTAAATGATAAATTAATGCAATATTCTACATTCATTACCATATACAGCTTTCGTAAAAAGAATGACAACTGATGAAGCAAACGAGAAAGAATTCGGAGAGGTTGCCTGATTCAACCGAGCAGCTTGCATCTACACAGAACTGGAGAACTTGTGTTCCATCTTCACTTAATGTTTTAATCCCGAGTGCTGTCCTTGCACTCATGCATCTCTGGCTGTGGTTACGTTTCAAAGCCAAAGATGGTCTGGAAAGCAGTTTTTCATCAAGACATCAACAAAAATCCTTGAGATAATCCTTATGACGTCATTGGTTTGCAGGTATGCGAGGCAAATTTGGAGGATCATAACTTATTAGATTTGTCCACAGATTTGCCAGAGGTAGAAAGTATTGCACTCCATTCCAAGCCACCATCTTCATGCCTGGTTCAGGATATTCCAGAGCATGTTAGCAACTGATATAGAGGAGATTTATATAGAAGTGGTCAGGATTCTGAACATAAGAGTTCAACTATAACTTGTTTACTTAATTATATGGCCTGCATGATAAAAGAACAGTCTTGGAAAAACCTAATCCTAAGACTCAAATTTCATGCTTCATGGAATTAAGCTGTTCAATAAGTTCAAAAATCTCATTTTATTTGTTTATTCAATAAGTTCAAAAATCATCTCAGTTATCAACTAATTATCTAGGATGAATTTAGACTGTTCAACTGTTTCTGTTGCACTTCATCACAATGGCCCTCAAAGAAGTTAACCAGAAAAGAAAACTGGCATCTCAGTATTCCTCCAACTTTACCGTAGCTTGTGTTCAAATTCAAGTGGATATCAAGACACAAAACTTAAGACTAAATTTAATCCTTAGGCCTGGATGACTAAAGAGATCTTTCATCCAACTTGCAGGCTACTCTCTTTCTTCTTTTTGTTCTTCTTCTGTTAATTTCCTTTTTCTTTTCACATTGAAAACTTATTACTATCTTTCTTCTAGCTATAAAAGCTAAATATCTGCATACCTGGCACTGTTCCTGCAGTTAAGAGGGAAAGATGGCAGGTAGGTTCTTCTCCAGATAAGATGTAATTATGAAGTTCATGCAGATCAAGATTGCGGATATACATGATAGAATCAAGTAAAGCTTTGATTGCTCCAGAATCTGAATGAACAGGATCAGACATGCTCTGACAGGCATCTTGGAGTCCTGAATTTGACCACAAAGTAGAACACTCTCTCAAATGCTCAAATATGCCAATGGAATTTGCAGAACTAAACAATATCCAAGGTTTGAAAAGTTTGGCTGAAAGTCCAATGACTTCAATGACTCTGTAAATTTCTCCAAGGGCATGGATGTACTGTCTGCCTGTACAAACCAAATAATCATATGAACCACAGTAAACTTACATGGCGCAAGTAGTAGATTGCCAGCATATCATTTATAGGCATAACAAGAAAATGTACCTTGAGGTATTGTTAATATTTGAGTGTCAATGTTTTTCTCCCGTGACTGCTCCCAAAGGAGAGAACCATGCTTCAACTCTTCAGCACAAGCAGAGACAATCTGGAACCATGTGGAAACATAACTATATTGCTCCTCAATTGATCCCAGTCTTAGAATCTTAAGTGTTGATGCTGCATGTTTTAAGAGTTCAGTTGCTGATTGTAGATCTTTCCCTGCCTAGTCAAGCCAAAATGCAAGTTTAGGATATCATGGTGCTAAACCAGAATTGACAACAAGAAAACCAGTTGCCAATCAAAAAGCAGAAGGGAAATTTGACTTAACCCTGAAAAAGGTAAAAGCATTTACAGGAGCACAAGGGTTTAAAATATTTAGTGAAGCAACATGAAAATGATGTTTATTAATAAGACCTCAGTGATATCATTTCCCAAAACAATGTTTGATAATATCCTGAGACACAAGAAGCAGTTTTACCATTGCCTCCATCACCTCCCCATTCTCTCTGTTTCATTTCCACACCCTTCAGTCAAATTATTTTCTAAAACACATTTTGTTGGAAAATATGCAAAAGACATACAAAAAGATGGACAACTAAAGAAGAACAAGAAGTTTTAAAATGAAAGGAAAATGCCAACAATAGAAATAGAACAGCATAGAATAGTTAGTAAGGACATCAAGTAAAACAATGATTTTCTTTAAAACAAGGGATCTCCAACTAATCCCATTCAGCAACAAAACATTTTAAGAAATCCAATATAATCAGCTGTGACATAAGCTTCTAATTTTTCCCAATATAAAAAATTAACAAATATATATTTCAAGTACAGAGCTAATAACAAAAGAAACACACCAGTGGCAATTTTTCTGATAAATGGTATTCTGACTCAAGAACTTGGAACTGTTCTTCCTGCAGAATCTGGGTGAATTCATTCAAGAAAATACATCTTGATTGATCATTCTCTGATGGGATTTCCTTGGATTTTGTACCATCTTTATGCATGACATTACAAAGATCCTGCAGCAGGAAACAAAAAAAGATCATGGATTATGAGACCGTCAGGCATATGTAGATTGAAAGAGAGATGTTATTCTTTTCTCAAACTGATCACATGTTGCAGCCATAGAAGGAAGACAAATTGATCTTATCTAATTCTAAGCAATATTCTCAGCAACATTGGTGACATGTAATGTAAAAAATAATAATTCTCATGAAAAATAATATCATTCATGCTAGTAGGTATGTTAATTAAGCTAACATAAAAGAATCATGCAGAGAGGTAACACATGGAACACGATGCAATGCCAATAGATCCTAATCAAACAGACCTTATGTCCCACACTTAACTATGTCATGCAATTTAGAATTGCTGTAAAGTTTAAAGAAAGTCAATAATATGGTCTTGAAAATGAGATATTGGTCCAATGATTAAGGACAACACTGAAGACCTAGGAAATCCCAAGATAAAATCCCCACCACCCCAAATATGATATAATAATAATAATAATAATAATAATAATATGGGTTTTATTTTTCAATCACTACAATTCTCTTGATTATGCATGGAAGAAATTTTCATCAACATGGAAAACCAGTGTACAATTCTTATGCAGAAAAAGTTGAGGTATATTTGCTTTGCTGTTAATTTTGGTATTCAGCATCTGAAAGGGAAGCTAAAGAGAGATTGTGCAAAGACAATAGTGAGGGGTAACATGGGTACAAATGATCCAAAAAGAGGGGCAAAAAAAATAAAAAACCTGGATTTCCTTCTCAAGCCTTTCTATTCCACCATCTTCACCAGCAGGGGCGGAACTTTGAACTTTCTAATAAATAGCACATTTCAGACGTAAAATATTCCTTATAAATCCTCAAAATATAAACTAAAAAAAGAGAAAAGGGTAAATAAACTGAAGAACTTTACCAACCTTCAAACCATCAACATGGAAAAGTGCAACAAAGCACAGTTCATCTGTTAGCTTTGAATAGAAATCCACAAAATCATTTATCTTTCCTTCTGCTGGGTACAATTGAGATGAATCTCCACCACCAAGCGCAGACTTCTGATTTTCGTCTCCACTTCCAAAAAGGACACCCTTAAATTCCCATGAATTATCATCAAAACCATCAGCACTATTTACTGTATCAGAAGCCACCATCCTCTTGGTGGAAACATATCCATTTTCATTGGGACTGTCCCTATGAATAATAGAGGCATCCTGCTCAACTTGACTATATAAAGTTGATATAAGATCTTTGATGGACATATTGGAACCAGAATCTTTCATGCCAACTTTTAGGGGAGTAGGCTTATGAGTAGAAACATCTGGATATGTCAAAGGATCATCTGTTTCTGGTTCTACATCACCAAAAATGGACAGGGGCAATGCTCCATTGTGTTTCTCCAACACTCCCTCATTCTTCTGGGCATATAGAAGGGAAAACAATTAGCAACTGGAAGAAAAATATTTTCTCATTAATGCATAAGTCAGAACTTTTTATGTAAGTATCACTAAGAAACTTCAACTTTGTGTGAACCACAAACAAAGACAATATATTTTGACTCCAAATAGCAACATGCCTGAAACTCAACTATATCAACACTGCTTCCCCTTCTCTGTCCTGCCTACCCCAACCCTCAGCTCAGACCAACAAAAGGCCACACAAATTATACTGAGACACTTAGCACAATGAATAAGCCAATAACTGGATTCTACCATCAAAAGGAAAGTCTTTTACGGCAGAAGAACTATCAGCAAAGTTTGGCTCTTCCTACAATAGAAAAATTAAAGCTTGATGTTGCATGTTCTTTGCTCTGAGGAAATATGACAGAAATCAAATCAAATTAGATTATCACCTTATCTTTTGATTCAGTTTCTGAAAACACATCCTTAAATGCCCAGCAAGTTTTATCAGAATCAATATTTTCAGAAACTGTGGAAGTATTGAATCCATTGTTCTTTTTATCATGCTTCCTTTGAGTAGCGGAACTTGGGTTGAAACTAAACCCAGATCCCCAATTATAAGGCGCATCAGAGATCCCACCAGATGTGGCAAATAAATCAGTGGCTCCGTTTGTGCCATTTCCAAACCCAAAGGTATATTCAGCTCCCTCAGGATGTTCCTGCATTCCCTCATCAACCTTCAAAGTAGGAAAGGACAAAGGGATAAATCAGAAAACAACCCTAAACGAAAGGATACGAAAAGATATAGCTGATTGAAAGCAAAATACAAAAATCCCATTAATTGATTGTGATGTCTTACTAAACAAAAGCATCACTGCATCAGCAATAACTAGGCAGCAACTACTATTAGATATAAAGTTAACTAATAATTAGTGATGATCCATCGGAAGTTGTTCACTAGTCTAATTTTGGATCTTCAGCATTCAAAACTGACTGAATCCGAATAATTCAGATATCATTTTATTTCTCTTATCTTGCTAATTTTAACATCATTATGGAGAAAATGCAGGAAAACCTTTTAAGATTTTGTTTCAAACAATATGGATTCATTGCTTGGGGAATAAAAACCTTCAAAATCCACCTATTTGATCAGCAGCCAGTTGCTTGGTGTTTTATCATATTCTTTTATGATCATAAACATAAATTTGCCCCTTATCATGTTCCTTAGGGAAAGGGGAAAAAGAGAAACGAAAAATAATAAGAAGTTAAAGGATCCCAACCTGCATCAAACTTAATATTCATGTCTTTTGTTATGCATCCCTCAGTAAGAACAACCTGAAGTAAAAATTTGAAAAGGCCCACGGAAAATCAATACCTTCACGGAGTCATCTCTGGAGGATGTTTCTGATTCTGCAGTTTTGAATTCCCATCCATCATCACTGAATTCCTGATTTTTGTCAGTAGAACTCAAATTTAACCCATTCACATTGGAATTCAGCCCATTGGCATCCACACCTAGCACATTCAAGCTGAAATTGGACACAATGAAATTCGATATTGACCCATTTTGAGCTATATTCTCCTCGCTCTGATCAAACAATTTTTTTTTTTTTGAAGTTAGCTCAACACCGAATTCCACAAAAAAATTACAAAATTGAAAAATATCAACTGAAATCACATAAATCATACCTTCAAATTAGATATTTCTGATCCAGATTCCGCCTTGGACTCTGCAGCTTTGAATTCCCACCCATCATCACCATCATCATCGACCTCCACATCTCCATCAGCTAAACTAGAATCAATTCCACTTGGATCCAACTTAAACCCATTCTGGGTTGGAGCAAAGCCCCCTGAACTCAATTTTATCTCATTAAACAAATTAGAGTCCAAGTTCGCCCCCTCTCCATCCAAACTAGAAGTCTTAATATTTGAATTCAATCCATTTGAAACCAAATTCAACTCATCCCGCTTTAAAATCGATCCATTTGAGCTGAAATTCACCTCATGCTTCCCATTTAAGTTCGGATTTAGTCCATTCCGATGCAGATCCTGCTCATTTGTATGCTTAGGGTCGGGAACTGATTCACTTGAGGCTGATTCTGGTCCGCTTACATCATTGCTCTTCAAGTTCTGCTTATACAAATTATACATCAATTCATTAAGATCCAATTGCTTCGTCTTCGCATTGTCAGCCTTTCTAGTACTGAAAAGCAAACCATTCGCACCATTGAACGTCTGATCCATCGCACCTGATCCCTCCTCCTCTCTCTCCTCCTCTCCAAAAATCGATAACGGTATTGCTCCAATCGGCTTGACCCACCCAGTCCCGGCCGAATCTTCCCCATTCGGCATCGAGTCGGGCTCAACCTGGACCGACGAGATGCCGCCGAACGGATCTAACTGCTCAGCCGGTAACGATCCGGTGCGAGAGTGAAAACTGGAGTTGATAAAATCTCCCCAGTCATCATCTTCGGCGTTGGGGATGTTGTTTTTGGAGGAGATACGAGGGCCGTCGACTGACGATCTGAAATCGCCAAAGCCCTCATCGTCGTCGTTTTCCGCCATGGTTCAGGCCGTGGATGATCTGACTCTCTCCTCCCCTCACTCTCCCTGTTGGTCCGTCGATGGATCTCTGCAATCTTGTATTTTTCGCTTTACAGGTCTTTTTTTTTTTTTTTTTTTCCCGTTCGGTGGTGCGCACATTAGACTCCTGTGCATGCTATCCATTTTAGAAGTGGACTATCCATTTTTTAAGTGGATCTAACAGTCATAAGTAATAACCACTAAAAATAAAAAAAAAATATATATATATTAGTCTCGTTTTTTAAAAATAATTGAAATTTTAATTTTAAATTATATTATTTTATTTAAGTAAAATTTAATTTAAAATTTAAAAAATTATTTTATTAAATTTAATATATTAAAATATATAATAAATTTTTTAATTTAGATATTAACATTTAATAAAACGAGATTTTAATTTTTAGATATAAATTAAAATTTTAATTATTTTTAAAAATAGAGATTAATGTGCATTAATTTCATAAAATAAATAGATGATAATAGACTTAAAATAAAAAAAATATATTAAATGTTATGGATGATGAGTATTCATTTTAGAAGTGGAGTATGCATTTTAGAAGTGCACTATTATTTTTTTACTTTGAAGTGAACTATCCATTTTTACAGTATTAAATATGAAATTTTAAATTTAAATTTTATGATGGGTGAAGGATAATTTAGACTTTTTTTATTAAATAACTCATTATTTTATGTAAAAAAAATTATTTATTACAAAAAAAAATTATTTCTCAATTCAAATTACGGCTCCTATTAACAATATATGTCATTAAAACGGTTAAGAACTTAAATTTTAATACTAAAAATTTTAAAATTTAACTTTACGATAGGTGAAGAGAAATTTAAATTTTTTATTGAATAACTTATTATTTCATGTTAAAAAACTAAAAACTACAAAACAAAAAAAAAGGGAAACTGTTTCTCAATTCAAATTGTAGGTCCTATTAACAATATATGTCTATTTGTTATAACATTTAATCTCACTCAAAAAAATAAGTGGTCTTCATTTTTCATATGTCTTGTTATTGAAATTTTAATTACAAAATATCTTTATTATTATTATTATTATTATTGAAAGAACAAAGTGGATAACACCCATAATTTCTTCAATTCCAATTATGATTAAAAGAACAATAATTTTTGTGGTTGCTTCTCTAATCTTACTGTATTTGGTTTGAGAAAAGAAAAAAAGAAGAGGAGGAGATCCTCTTAGCTCTAATACTTGTAATTCATAATAGAGAAATTTATCTCCTTTCTTTATTTTCTCTTTTTTAAAAAAAAAAGAAAACTAAATAAATTAAAAGGGATAAATTAAAAGTATAATAAATATATTTTTTTCATTAAAAAAATAAAAAGTAAAAATTGATTTTGACTTTATTATTTAACTAATTAAAATCATATATATAATATTAGTGTTAAAATTAGTACCAACTTTTATCTTTTTCATAAACTTAATGGCTAAAAGGTTAAATCAGTTAATTACCCCCCCCCCCCCACACACATGTCACAGGGCTCCTCGTGTGCATTTTCATTGTATAAGCCACAAATTTTTTTAACCTTTTTGATTGAAAAACTTAATTAAATTCAAAATATTGCATTGTATGTATTTTAAAAATAAGTATCAATACAAAATTAATCATTAAATAAGTGACATGTTTGATTATTCATTATACAATGGATTCTCAAATTACTACTACAATAAAACCTGAAATTCTTTAAAAAAAAAGTTAAAATAAAATCAACTTAATTGCATTAATATCAAATAATGTCTTTATCCATTTAACACCAATATATATAATAATAATCAGACAAGAAATCATCAATACAAACATAATACAGCATGACAACCAAATACAGTACATTAATCAAAAACCAATCCAAAAACATAAACATGCTAGTAGAAAACGGATCTTAAATTATCGATCACTACACAGTCCATATAAACCACCCCAAGACCACCACAACCCCCAGACCAACAATCTTCTCCGCGACCTTCCAAGCTCCGCTAACAAAGCTCCCAGCCAGCGTGTTACTGGTCAGAACCACCACCGTCCAGTCATCCTTGGATCCGACCCCCACGCCGGTGAACTTGGAGGCATTTAAGTACTTGGCGTAGTAGGTGCGGGTGTAATTGGTGAGGACCAGGGTAGGGACAAGTTTGTGGACGCAGACGGGCATAATGATCCCGTCCGTGGTGGTGTTGATGTTTATGTTGCACTTGGAGGCCACCTTGGGGTAGTTGGCTAGGGTGGCTAAGGTGCCCTGGGAAGGGACAGCCGCGGCGTCACAGGACTGATCATCTAAGCCCTCGGCCAGTTCGTCGGCGACACAGTCGGCGTTCTTATTCTTTGTGAGCGCCGGACGACTCAGAGATTGACGGTAACTATTGATTCCTTGTAAAAGGTTGTCTTCGTCTGCAACAAAAATTAAAAACAAAGAAGTTACGTCCGTTCAGTGGTTAAGGAGAGATGCTTATATTTTTGAAAAGTTCTACAAACACAAGTATCACCCCAAATATTAAAAGGAAAAGAAGAACCCTGTTAAAGAAAAAGATTAATTTTCCAGAATTGTTTCATAAGATTGGAGAATATTACCATCACAGAGTGCAGGTCGAGAAAGGAAGAAAATGGGGTAAACAAGGAGGAGTAGGAAGAGGGAAATTTTGAGAGAAGCCATTGTTGGAGAACTAAAGAAAAAAGAGGAAAACGAGACAAGTTTAAGCAATGAAGAGGGAAGAGAGAAGATCATGGATTGTTGGAAATTTAAAGGTTTTATTCTCAAGTTTGATGGTTTGTTTTATTAAGTGCCATTCGGAAGTTCGTTACCCAGATAGGAATTGGGTCAGTTTCTGAGATGATGTGGTAGTTTTTGAAGGTTTCCACCTGGCAAACATGCAGAAATGTTTAAAATTTGTGGATAACTGAGACAAGTTTGGTTTTAAGTTCAAAATTTGCAGTTACCAATTTCAAATTTCAGTCGTATATACTGAAAATGCCAGTTTACCATGAGCCATCTTTTCTTCTCACCTAATTCGTGGACCATATGGCCAATAAGGCCTAAGGTCCAGGAATGAAGATTTTGAGATCGTGAATTTGATTCTAAATAAATCTTGTTTTAAATTTTTTTTGTTATTTTTGCACTAAGATATTTATCTTGTAAAAAAGTAAATTACAGTTCATCTGGATAGATTATTAGACTAGTTGGATTAATTTTTTAAAAATAACTAATAATTAATAATTGATATATGACAATTAATAATTGTTAATATTTTAAAATATCTAATTTGTTTGGTTAAAATAATAGGGAAAAGTGTTTGTCAGCCTGACCTCCCAAAAATTAAGAGGAAAATCATCCTAAAACTACGTCGTTTCAATAAACTTTTATTGAAAAAGACTAAACTACCCTATTTTTAAAGCATGCATTAAGGTGATATTTGTCCTTTTTCCTCCTAATTTTTGGGAGGTCAGGCTGACAAACACCAACCTCAAAATAATAATTACTAATTTTTTTATTAAGTTAAAATAAATTTTTATATTTCATTTAATTGTTAATCAAAGGAATCATTCACTCTTTATATTAATAGTTAATTGTTTAGCATTGTCATCTATAATTTGACTAATATATAAACTCTATAAAATGGAAGGAAAAATAGTTCATAGACATTATGAAATACGTGAATTGCAACCCTTAGACTTTCCAATCTTTTCTCAACGCCCTCAAACAATTTGCCATCCGTCAGCTAGAAGTAAGGGAGGTTCATATGGGCTCTAATCTCACAAAGCCGTTCATTTACACCGCCACGGCCGCTGCATGCGACTGCAATGACACATAGGCAACTCCATTGCCACACAATACCACGAGCCTACATGGCAATTAAAGTCTTTATCGTGTCCCCGGCAATATCAGTCTTGCAACCCCAATTTCAATGTCCTTTCGTCTGTTTTCTTCTTCAAGAACCTTAGCGCCCACGCATTTTCTTGGTGTCCAAACAAATCCCAACTCGGCACTAACAGCCCCAGGTGGGCTGGCAACGGGCCATGGTTCAAGTTACGGCTGTAATAATTCTCCTTGTTCAAAAAAAAAAAAAAAAAATCCTAACTCGCATTTTCCAGCCGAATTGATTTTCCGGTCAAACAGAGATGTTTCAGACTTTTGAAGATCAGATCAATGGCGTCCGACTCAGCAGAATTGCCCTCCTGAGAAACGGGACAGTCAGTCGGGGAAAGAGCATGTCATGAATCCCATCCCTCAGTTCAACAGCTCCAATTACAAGCCCTCTAATAAGCTTCAGGTAGTAATTTCTCAGACTCTCTTCGAAGCAAACTCAAGAAGGCCAAAGTTGAAATCAAGTTAATGATGTACAGACAACAGGAGTAGAAAGATATGGCTATAATGTTGTTATTATTATTTTTTTGGGTATATCTGATAATTATGGGTTATGCAAAAGGGAATATCCTTCCTCTTTCCCTAAATCCCTCCCCATCTATCTCAAGATTCAAACTTGAGATTCTCAACTTTTTAACCATAGACCCACTTCATTGGGGTTAAAATGTTATTATCTGAAATCAAGGATGGGATTAGGTCTTACTAAAAGAGGAAGGTTTCCTGGGAAAGTCATGAATCAAAGCAACCTGAACACCATCCCCACTAATTGCTGTAGTCAAACATTGGAACCCAGATGACTCTAGCTCCTTGATCGCTTTGGCCACAACTGTCGCTGATAGCACTGATTCAGGATGGTCAAGGAAACAAGTGAATGCTTTGAAGCAGCGGAAGATAGATATCAAAGAAAATAGCATTGAAAACGTATTAGCAAGATGTAAGAAGCGTAAAATTCTTAAATGCAGAATTAGAAAGAGGATACAACTTGGCAACAGCGTTAACACACAGCCTCCGCCGCCAGCTCCGGTCAACTTGGAAGCTAACTTGTATTTTAATGTTGTCCGAAGAATGGTTTCTATAGAAGCATGGCTGACACCCGTACATTGAAGCAAACCTTGATTCATTTCCATTAACTCGCCTAGCTTCTCTTCTTTCTCTGTTAGGGATATGTCATCAGAGGCTGGTGACTGGATTACGGTTGACAAATCCTTGCTGATTGAGTCAACAGCGTTAAACACAGAAGTCATGGCATCAGGGTGCCTGAAGGTCCTCTCGGAAACACCAGCAGCCGATGCCTTCGTGTTTCTCCCAACTTCGTGTTGGTGATGAGCACCTTCAATGACTCAAAATCAAAATTAACCCTAATTAACATTAAAATTAAACATAAACAGTGAATAAATTAACATGCTTGAAACTAAAAAGAAACATGAACGTTATATAAGTAATTATCGAAGAAATACCACTTATCATAAACATTAAATTAATTATAGACAGAAAAGAAATAGTACCTTGAACAAACTTGAAAGATTGAAATTCATTATATGAAACGAAATTGTTGAAGCGAATACATGAATTAGTCTATCTACTAGGATGATGAAAAATAACCTAAATCTATTGGAAATTGTGCTGAAATCTAAAATCTGGAAGCAATTGTAGAGAAAATAAAGTCTGAAAATTTGTAGATGTTGAATAGGGCAGGTCGTCTCTTCTCCCTCCCAAAATTTCTTTTTGTTCTCCTTGTGCTGGCAATAACCTCCACTTTCTATAGTTACACAATCATGGGTGGTTTCTTGAGGTAATGGTACAGCTCACCAATTGACTTGGTCTGATCTCCTTGCAGATTTCCGCCATCTGTACCCTTATCAGATAAAACCCTTCTTCAATTGCAATCTTCTCCTATATTTTAGCTCAAACAATCCTTTTTTACCTCAAAGAAATAATTACACAGTAAAATCTCATCTTCATCTCCTCTTTTTTGCTAAAATAACAGCTGATCTGTCATGAGACCCAGAATCATGAATCTGACATGGCTTAATCTCTTACATCCACTAAAAAATATTTTACACATGACATTATCTTAAAATTTTACAATTTATGATGTAAACAATGCCTCCCAACAGTTGATTTTATAAAAAATAAATCCAAATGTTTTTAATTACATAAATTACTTTTATCACCTAAATTACTTATACCACATGTCAAATTTCTTTTAAAAGCAACTCCTAAAATATTTCCTGGACCAATTTCCAATATTATCTCCAGCCTCTCATTTTAAAATTCTTTTAACTTAATATCCCAAAAGTAAAGTAAAAGTCAAACTTACTTTACCTTCTACCTTGGGACACCACCACTGCCGGTTTTTTTTTTTATCCAGCCACCGAACAAACTCCTCCCTTTTAAAATTCCTTTAACTTTTAAACCTCCAAAAATCCCAATAAATAAGGACTTTTTGAAAATTAAAAGTCAAATTCACCTTTTTTATCTTCTTCTTCTTCCTCGGGCCACTGCCGATTCCTTCCCCTTTGCTTTTCTCGCCCAGATCTGCTCCCACCATGGACGGTGACCCAAAGGACCAGTCCTTTCCTGCCGCATCTGCTGCTGCCATGGCTGGAGCCAAATCTTCTCAACCCAAAAAGCCGCCTCCTGCAGATCTAGGTACAAATTTAATGTGAATTTAATGTGAAATTTTATTTGAAGTTTCACTTGTAACCATCTTGTACGATACTAATAGGTACAAATTTTCTCCCCTCAGCATTAATTGACCTTTCAATTTATAAGTAAATTTTATTTATATAACAATAGCCATATGGCATCTACATGGAAAAAAATAGTTTTATCCTACAAATAAAGACAGACAACCATACATAACACAATTTTAAATATAATTACATTTTGCTTTCAACACAATTTTTAATATTATAGAAAGGTGGTGAAAATATGACACAACGACCCTTTAAAGGAACCATTATTACTATATATTCACATGTTCCTTGGTCGGATTGCAAATCTCCGATGGACATACCCTATCGGATTCTATACATATAATCAACTCAGAACTGACACACACAGTCTAAATATTCTTTGATTGTTCACCATTACCACACAGATGAAGAAGGTCTGTAATAAGAAGAGAAATTAATAAGAGAGCATGAGCTCAGAAAGACCAGATGTGTTGGTATCTTTGTCTAATTGTGTCCTGTGGCGAGCAAAATATTCTGAACTAGATATAGGCTTGAAAATTGGTGGATTTTCCTTAGATACAAGCTCTTTCAGTGGCCCATACGATTCATTGCACATAGCAACAGCTGGGGAGAAGAAAAATGCTGCTGATATTCTCGGACCGACACTCTTGGCCACCACTCTGTGTCTAGCAGCTTTAAACTTGCCATTCGTAATCAACTATTAAAGAAATCACATACACAAGGATTCATCATATGTATACACAAATATGAAAAAAAAGTTTTAATTTAATTATTAAGGTTTGATAAATTATTCTATGAACTGATACCTGCATAAGGTCACCATAGTTTATGGTTAGAGATCCAGGCACACAAGGCACATCCACCCACTGATTTTGATGAAGAACTTGGAGGCCACCGATGCTGTCTTGCAGGAGTATCGTTAAAAAGGTTGAATCTGTATGGCTGATTGAACCCATGGTGAGCTCGGGCTGTGGACAAGCAGGATAGTAATGGCTTATTAAATAAGCCGATTTCATGCATTTTATGCTTTCAAGGTAGTTACTCTTGAGACCCAAAGCCTCAGATGACAATTCTGATAGCGTGTCCTTTAGTTGGAGGACATATTTGGTGTATTCTATTATCGCCTTTCTGCACAACAAAATCACATCAGTATAAATCAGAATCCGATCGATCCGTTCCGAAATTTCGAAAGTGATATCATGCAGAGACTTTGATAACTTAACCTGCAAATTTGAGGAATGGCTTCTTCATCTATCTTTTCGTCTGGAAAATTACAGGCCAGGGAATCCCTCCAGGCTGCCAGGGGTAAGCGGTTCAAATTATAATGCAGACTTAAATGTGCAGCTAGCCACTCTTTCTTTAGTTCAACGGGCTGCTCGTTGAACTGATGCACGCCATCGATCATTTGGTCCATAACTGGGATTGGAACCCCATGATTGACCAATTGGAAGATTCCCCAATTCTCAGCTGCATCGCGGATTTGACTCACTATCTCCACTCGGCGGCTGGTTTCCATCTCCTTGAGGTCAATTAAAGGGATCCGGAATTGGACATCTTCGGAGGATGGTTTTGGTAATTGCTCCAGTGGATGGACGAAGAAACTGGGGAGCTTACTCACTCCAGAGTCTACAAGGCCTTTAACTCCAATACCGGATTCCATGAATTCATTTACTTCTTTCAGTACTCGGGATTCATATTCAGCTGGTGGAATGGTTGCCATGTTGGGATTTCTTCAAATTGCAGAGGACGGCTACCCAGTTCAAACTCAAAATATATAAAGGAATTTAATTTGGGTAATGAGAGACAGCAAACCATGACCACATTGTTGTTGCGCAAAAGCATGTAAAATTGTAAATACTATATTTTGGTCTTATCAAGTTGGCCGTAATGGAAGTCCACCATCAAAGCTGATCAGCAAGCATGCGCATTATCTCTTCGGGACTTTAATACATGTGAAAGGAAAAGGACAATTGCATTAATATTTAACTAGTTAGTTAGCTTCTATGACCGTGTCATTGATTGAAGAATATAGCATTTTTTGGGGGGGGGGGGGGGTTACATTAGGAGTATAACCTAATGGTTAGAAGTTTTGATCTTTTCTAATATTCCATAGGGATAACTCTTATAAAAAATGATGTTATGTAGTTGGAATTCATTGGATTGCATAACAATAATCATTGATGAGATGAGCTTTGATATTGGGCCGGTGTCTATTTCCCCAATTATTAAAGTCATAAGTGTACCCTGCAAAAACTCCTTTAAAGAAGTTAGAATTTACAACTATATGCAAATTTTGGGTCTAGGAAATCCGGAACGCTTTCCAAAAAATCCAATTTGTTGGACCGAACTTTCTGCAATGGGAAGCTGTTCTAAGAGCTAGGGCAAATGAAATGAGTATTTAAAACTCTGAAACGCATTAGTATGCATTATAAATTTATATGATTGCAAATAGGAATAACTCAAGTAGTAGAGAGGATCAGAAAGATGCCATTAATCTAATTATCTCAAAGCAAAATGAAACCTACTGTATAACATCAGATAGAGCCTGGGTTTAGTTAATCATTTTTCGGCAATTTCACTTTCTTGTTTGAGAGTATCATACAAAGTCTCGACAAGATTCAACAATGATGAATCTGAACCGCGTCTGGCCAACAAAGAGATTGACACAGGAAGGTTATTGTGCATACCTAAAGGTATTCTCACCTGTAAATAGGATCAATATGTTAAAACTTACTCAACACAATGAAGAAAAATGTAAGATTTTTGAGTCTTGGAGATGCAGGGAAAACCTGACAGAATCAGGTACTCCTGCAACTGACAACAAGCTGAAAGCACGTGCTCGAAAAACTTCCAGTGTTGTTGGATCTGTTTGTAGTTTGGGAGGAGCCCCGGGAATTGTGGGAAGGGCAAGGATGCCAGAATCCTAACATATATGTTTCATTTCAGCATAGAAAAGAAACACTGACAC